TAACATCAAAACACACACGCAGGGCTAAGTGATCTGTCAGGCGGCTTTTACAGTTATTACTTATAAAAGTAAGAAGAAAGAGATCTTGCCTTGGTTTTTAAGGCAAGGCTTTGACTAATTATTTTGAACTACAATTCCCAGAATGCTGTCTACCTTGCAGAATTGAAAGCCTACTTGAATGCCATATTGAGAGCCTGCGATCCATTTATTTGTGTGTTTCATGGCTCACAAGCTACTCAGATCCAAGCAATAATGCACTTAGGAAAGGTTTCCAAGTAAGGCAGGGCGGAGAAAGGGACCAGTAACTACACACCCACCCAAATAACGTTTTTAAGGCATCCTTTGGCTAAATGCTCAGTCCTGCTTTGCTTTGCAGTAGAGAACTCGGCCTGCTAGTGTTCAGGGAATTGTGTAGCCAAACTATGAAGTATGTTTACATGCATTCAAATCCTGGGGCTGACAGTCTATGAGTAAATGTTTCCAAAGTCAATCAACATGGGGGAAGCAGTAACACTGAAGGGTCTCTAAGTCAGAAGAAAATTGCCCTAATTCTTCAAAACTCCAGTTTTGACTTGTGTGAGCAGTATCGTTTATCTTGAAATAATACACTAAGAGTATTTTAGTTGTTTGGTGACGAACAGGGTTAAAGTCAGACAGCTGGGTGAAAGAGAGAAATAAGGTCCTTGAAGGACCCTTCTTGATGACTTCATCTTGAGAATACTCAACTATGGCAGAAAGTCCCTCCTTTCCAATGCTGTCATTTCTACAAATAAAACGACTACTATTTCCTACACAGGAGACCACCCTTCAGGGTAGAGTCAGCATAAAAATATGGTTTACAGCATGAAGTCAGATTCCTGAGCTTTCTGCTCCACCATTCACTAGACACGGTGAATGTGTGCAAAGTAACTTCTTTTGGTTTCATTTGCAACCCTTACAATGGGATCACTGCAGTATTCACTTATGAGAGCCATCACAAGGCTGGAGCATTCAGTCCACCATCAACATGTTATAATAAATGCTGGCTCCTGTGACCAGAACCCTCGTGGCTTCTCCCTTTGATTGCTGTATCTCATCTGTCACCAACCTCTGCTGATTCTTTCACATGCAAGGGCAATTCTGCACGGTTGTGGAAAATAGAAGTAAAACTGAGGAGTGAACCAGCAGATGGAAGATTTCTCTTTTATTATCTCTCTCCATTTTGTTCTTTCAAATATATACATACATACATACAGAAATCTTTAAAGATATTCAAGCTCACAAGAAATCAGACAAGTATATTTATAAAATGATAGAATTTTATAATTCGTGAGAATATCAACAATAAAAGGCTGGGTGATTGTGAGGGCTGGAAACGTGCAGGCAAGGTGGGAAAAGCTGAGGATGTCCACTCTCCTACAAACCAGCAACTCTATTCCGGAATACATGCATCCTTACACCCGCCCAGAGACACAAAAAAATGTGCATAGAGCACTGTGTTGAATTATGGAAACTGGCACCCACAGAAATGGGAACCCTCCACCCAGCACCTTGGGGATGGCACTTGCTAGGTTAAGACATGCAGGAGTTTGGATTCAGCCTTCTCAATGAAAGAAAGAAGAAGCAGAAGAAAGGAAGAAAGACTCTTGTTGTGTTACCAACAGGAAAATGCATAAATTGCATGCATGTTTGTATGCATTATAATTAAAGCAGGGACCCATGTTTGGTCTGGCAGATAACATGCCATGTCCCCAAACCTCGATTCCAACTTCCTGTTACTACAGATCCCAGGAGGCAGCAGGCACAGATCTTAAGTGATTGAGTTTCTGTCAACTACATGGGTGAACTGGATTGTATTCTTGGTTTTCAGAGTCGATGCAGGCTTTATAGGAGTGAATCAGCAGGTGTACTTTCTCTCTCTCTCTCTCTTTCTCTCTCTCTCTTTCTCCATCCCTCCCCAAGTGTATCAAATGAATCAACCAATAAAAAATTTAAAAATGCATGAACTAAGACCATCTGTTTAATTTAAATATATAATGGTAACATGCCAACCCCTGAACTTAAAGTGAAAAAACTAGGTTTTCCTACACATACTATTGATCATATAATCGGTGAGTACACACACACACACACACTCTTAGTCACTACTTCTAGATAATCCACATAAGAAACGAGCAAAAGATTGACAAGACTGATGCACACCCATGTGAGCAAAGGTATTGGCTACCTCTGGTGAGGAAGATTGGGGAATAGGTTTGAGAAGGGACACAAGGAAGCGTTTTCTATAGAATTATTTACTTCAAATACATCTGTAACAAATACGGCAGTACTAGAGCCTTACCATACTGTCTACTGTATTCTTCTGTAGGTTAGAACTTTCTTTGTAATTGAAAAATATTAATAACAACAGTATTCCTTTAGAGCATGGTGCCTATAGCTCATCTCCGGGGGCAGCAACAGCTTACCTGCAGGACTGACCAACGAACGAAGTGGAGCCCTGGACAGGCCTGTGACAGCGATGCTGTCTGCACTGCTGCCGTTACCATGCTGCAGTGGCTTTGCACATTGTGTGTTGACATCACAATGCGAATCGCATCAGTGTGCGGAGCAACCTTCTTTCTGCATTGCCTCAGCTCACTGCCACCCCCAAACTCCACTATCTCTCCTCCTGGCTGACTCACCCCAGTCCATTGCCAACCGGTCTCCTGCGTGCTTCTCCACCCTCAGTGCCTTGGGGACGGCACTTAGTAGTTCCACTGCCCTCAGGGACCCCCAAAGACATACAGCAGTTTGTTTGAATTCAGCCCTCTCAGTGAAAGAAGGAAGGAGCAGAAGAAAGGAAAAGAAAGCCTCAGGACTGGGCGCCCTCTCTGGTTCCATTTATGGCCCAAGACATCTGTGGGGCGGGTGGTCCAGCTCCACGATCTGAAAAGTCACCTTGCATGCCAAGAGCAACTTGTCGAGGTCCTTATAATCAATCCCCAGACTCAGTCCGTTTATCTTCCTCATGCCTAAAAGAAATGCTCTGCCATCCAACTGGCTCTCTAATATGCCACAAACACGCTGTTCTATTTCTGTTCTGAGTTTTTTTTTTTTTTTTAATTTGAAAGGCAGAGTTACAGAGAGAGAAGAGACAGAGAGTGAGAGGTCTGATGGTTTACTCCCCCAAATGGCCACAAAAACCAGAGTTCAACTGGTCTGAAGCCAAGAGTGCATTCTGGGCCTCTCAAGTCGGTCTAGGGTCCCAAGCACTTGGGCCACCCTCTGCTGCCCTCCTAAGACATTAGCAGGAAACTAAACTGAAATTCTAGGACTTGAGCTGGTACCCATACAGGACGCCAGTGCCACAGGCAGACGCTTTATGTGCTAAGCCAAGGTGACACCTCTGATTCTGAATCTTACCTTGTTTTTGAAACTCACACCCAAGAGCCAAGATTTTCAATACATTTTCATTAATGTATTTGATTTACTTAACAAAACCCACAAACTAGGGTGTGCATCTGGTGTTGTGGTTAGGATACTGCTTTGGAATGCTAACATCCCCTATCAAAACACCCACGTTCAAGGGCTGGCTCTGCTTCTCATTCCAGCTTCCTGCTAATGCGTAGCACAAGACGCAGCAGAGTAAGGCGCCAGTAGCTGAGCCCCTGCCATGCGCGCAGGACACCTGCGTTAACTCTGGGCTCCTGGTCTCGGACTGGTCCAGCCCTGACTGTAGTGGGCAGTGGAGGGAACTCGTGCAGGGAAAATCCTCCTCTCTGTTTCCTTTGGTTTGTGTTGCTGCCACACAAACAAAAAGGAAAAGATAAATAAAAAATGTTATACCATGTCAAGATAGAAAGACCCAGTCACTGTTAAAACATACATTATTTTAGCCTCATGACAAGCCCATGAGATTGCTTTTATTACTGTGTCCTTCTGTTTTATCAGTGACGACACTGAAGCACAGAGGCATTAAGTAGATCTGACCAGGATCAGTGGCAGAACTAGCCTCTGAGCCCAAGGTCTGCTCACTGCACTAAAACCCCTTTCTGATCAGAGCTTTCCATTCCTGTTCTGTGCTTTATCATCTAATGTTTCCTTAAGACAGAGTGATATTGCAGTGTTTCATATTCTTGGACATTTCTTGGTAACTAAAAACAAAGTTAGCATCCCATGTTCTTCTTTTTTCACAAGATTGCTTGATTCATTTGAAAGGCAGAATTACAGAGACAGGGAGAGACAGAGAAAGATCTTTCCTCGCTGCTGTACTTCCTAAGTGGTCACAATGGCTGGGGCTGGGTCAGGTCAAAACTAACAATCAGGAATTTCAATTGTGTCTCCTACATGGTGGTAAGTACTTGGGCCATCTTCTGCTGCTTTCCTAGGTGCATTAGCAATGAGCTGGATTGGAAGGGAATCAGCTGAGACTCAAACCTGTGCTTATACAATATGCCAGTGTTGCAGGTTGCGGCTTAACCTACTATGCCTCAACTCCAGCCTCTTAGATTGTGTGTTTGTATAAAGAGCAGGCTGGTGAGGTGCAACTCGGAAGGGGCCTCAAGGGAGTCTCTCCTCAATTATCTGTATGTTGTTGACATTCATAGCTGTCCTGTGAGACAGACAGGCCAAATCATCATTTGGTGGAAGCAAAATGAGCCATCAGAGTTAGATGACTAACTCCCAGTTATACACTAAACAGCAGTGCCGGGACCAACTCGAGACCACCAGACTCCAATCACATGCTTCCTGGGCCTTCTCCAAGGTGAGCTCACAGCAGAGGGGCACCTCGAAAGACACATGTGGACATAAAGAGTATAAGAAATATAAAAGCACTTCACAATAATCATTGCATTAAAAAACATTAAACAAGGTGATGAAAAAGAGTGTCACCAAGTCGTCTTGAGCAGCCGGGGGGGCCGGGGGACCGAATCTCACACATTTCAGGCTGCCTGTCGGGAGGGCCCTCTGACTCTCGGCTGCAATGTTCGACAAGTCACACTCAAGTTAACATCATCTTCCCGCACAATCCAGTTCCTTACCTGGCCTTCGCAGCACTATCCCAGGAACCCAGGTCCTCCTGCCTGGCCGTCTCCACCCTTTTTCTGCCTGCTTCGTCCTGTGTCTCACTCAGGCTGTCGGAATCAGGGCTACCCTCCTCTAGACTGTCAGGTTCCACGTCATTGCCCTGTTCAGAAACGGATTGCATCTCTGGAGCAAGGCTGTCAGATTCCAGGGAGTCTTTCGACAGGTGTAAGTCTTCATTCTTCAGAGGTGGGTCCGAGGAAGGGAGGTTTCGCTTGGGATGATGGACAGGGGACTGAGCAGAGAGCTTGGGCGTCAGCCTGCTATGACTCATCTCGAAAAGTAAGAGAAGTCACAGAGGTCACTTGTGTTGATCGGTTGACAGGAGCAGCGGGTTGATTTAACCTTGTGCTTCACAAAACTATTACCTAAAAACAAAATACATTTTTGTCACTCTGGGATTCCTGGGATCTCAATGGCCGTGTTTATGATAAAGGTGACTCAGGGAACCTAGCACCTGCAGGCTTTTTTCATTTGCCCCTTTGTGTTTATAAGTGAGGTACACAGAAAAAAAAAACAACACTGCTGTTCTACCTACAGAAATATATCTGACATAAAGTTCATCAACAGCATGAAACACTGGGTGTAGTTTATTGAGGAAATCAAGTGGCTGCTTCCAGCTTCCCCAGGCTGGCTACAGAGAAACACACGCCAAGCTAAGTGTTTAATCCCAGCGCTCTGACCGTCTTAAACGCCAAAAGCAGTAATATACACATGCTCTGTTCAGTAGTATTTATCAAATAAATATACAGAATATAACAGATTTAGGGTCTACCTTTGGGAAAGTAAAGACAAGAGGAAGGAAAGTATAAACAGGTGCATTGTTTTATTTCAACTGACCATATCCTTTGGAAAAGACTTTTTGAAACATTCAGGTGGCTAAAACCATGTGACTTAGGAAGACATGACATGGCGACCAACCTCAGCTCAGTATTTTAAAAAGGCAACAGAATAAGGATGAAAGCTGCTCAGCAAAAGATGAAGTGGCCTTGTGAATTGTGTTATTGAGCAAACTCAAAGGAAGCAGAGGCTGATGTCCACAAACCTGAAAGCGAAGCCATTCGGGGAAAGTCGGGTGGGTGGGAGACCGGCTTGGATAACAGCTGAGAGTTAGTGGCATTCTCTTCCGACTTGTTAAGAGTGATTCAGAGCGAACCCTGGCTGGCTCAAAGGGCTGTTATAATGCCCGTGAAGCACTCTCCAGAAAGGGGGCTCTGAGTGCACACAGGACTGAAAGCACATGATGTTTTTGGATTGTACTTCCTTTCATCTCTACCCTGCGTTTCTATTTTGGCTTATCTTTCCTTTCACCGCCTTTCCACCCCCCCTCCTCCAGCCCCACATCCTTGCATCATTCTCCCCCTCCTTCATCCCCACAAATCAGCTAAGGGAAACCTTTACTATTGATTACCATAACATTTGTTTTTAACGCCATGCTCTTTCTTACGCTTGGGGTGAATTCTAACTTTTAACTAAATAATAAGACCTGGTCGCTGTTCTCCGGACTGCATGCCACGTTGACCCAAGGAAGGCCAGTCGGGGGGGCGGGGGGAGGTGGGGGGAGCACCGTGACAAACACAGACAAAAGGCAACCTTCGTATGGGAATACACACGAGCTGGTTTTCCTCTGTTGCCAGACGAACACAAGGAAAACATAATTTTCCAGCTCAACTTCCAGTCTTAAATCTCTGACTTCAAAAACACATTCTGCCATAGTTCAGAAACAGACTGACCACTGCTTCTTAGGATACTATAATAAAGCAACAAGTCCACCTCAAACTCAGACACTCAACTAGAGAAGCAGCTACGCAACTCGGGTTTTACAGTCACCCTTAGAATAAAATCATAGTCATAGCTCAGTGTAGAATTGCTCTTTCATCCCCGTCAGTTCCGCACCTCTCCCGAACACTCTTAGGGTTTCTTGGAATTCATAAACAAGACAATGTAAAACGTAATTATTTTGCTATTTTCAGAAGAGTAAAGTCAACGGGCACGCAGCCTGGGTTTCCGGGAGGGATGGCGAGTGCGGGTTTTACGAAAGCAAGCAGGAGTCTTAAGACAGAATGCAAACGGCTGCGGTGCCCAAGTTTCCCACCGACACCCTAAGTTATCCAGGCCGGCTGGGGTGGGGGGTGTACCTCGGAATGTCCAGGGAAGAAGAAATGGCCAGACCTGGGGGACCTGAGTCCAGGCCACGGGTCCTGGGACAGACCCCATTCCTCTCTCACAGGGGACCAGGGGCTCTGGCGGAGCCAACCACGGTGAGAGGCGGAAAGTGCGCGGCTCTGGAGGGCCACTCGGTGTTCTTGCTCCCTCCCCGGTTTCTGAGGGACCAGGGGCATTTTCAGGTGCACAGCGTGACGGCCCCCGCGAGCCGTGCGCCCTGGCCGGGCCTCTGGGTGGGCCTGGGCGCCCAAGTCCCCGCGGCGCCAGCCCTGCCGCCCCGGCGCGTCCCAGGCTCGTCCAAAGCTTCCCGTCTCCGACCCACCGGCCCGGGGGCCCCTCTCCCTCCCCGGGCCCGGGAGGCCGGTCACCTGCTCCTCGGCGGCCGCCACCCCGGCGACCCCGCATCCTCCGCGCCGTCCCCGCCCGGCGCTGCCTTGGAGACCGCGGCCAACACAGCCCGCCGCGCCCCTGGGGCCCGCGTCGCCGTGCGCCAGGAAGGCGGGGCGCGCGCCGAACGGCACCTGCTGGCCCGCGGGCGCCTGGGAGGGTGGAAGGCCGGGGTCGGGGGACAAGGGGAGACGGTTGCCGAAAATAAAATGACTAGGATACCAGGAACTCCTGAAAATTATTAAGAAAAGAAATCCCCCCAAATGAACGGGTAAATGAATGGAATGCAAGTTTTAACTCCCCCTCACCTTCGACTCCCAAATCAGGTGGCCAGTATATATTTGATGTTTATTCAAAAGGCGCTTAACTCACTAATGGGCAGAAGTGGGCAAGTTAAAACAGTGCTGTCACACCCGCTGCAAAGCCTGACCCGGCGAGGATGGAGGGCTGCGGGGTGGGAATCCTGTGTACTGCTGCTGAGGGTGGGAGCTGGTGCCACCACCTAAAAAAAGCGGTTGCCTTTGTATTGGATAGATGCCCCATAGGGTGCTGTAATTTCTTCAGGATATTTATGCATAAGAAGAGTTGGCTTATGTATGCCCAGATTGGAAATAATGGAAATAACCGTTGACTCTAGAATTATTCATTAAATCACAGTATTCCTTACACAGGCATGGTAGACAGCAGGGCTACCTCCACAATAAGATTCAATGAAATAAGGTTCCTTACAGCTTCACCGAGGTATCTTAAAAACACAGTATTGTGCAACAGCCACAATTATCCAGCAAAGAAGAACTATGGTTTGGGGTGCTTTTTTTTTTAGATTTATTTATTTTTATTGGAAAGTGAGATATACAGAGAGAAGGAGAGACAGAGAGGAAGATCTTCCAACGCTGATTCAATCCCCAGAGCTGAGCTGAAGCCAGGAACCAGGAGTTTCTTTTGCATCTCCCATGCTAGTGACATGAGTGCAGGGTCCCAAGGCTTTGGGCCATTCCTGACTGCTTCCCCAGGCCTCAAGCAGGGAGCTGGCTGGGAAGTGGAGCAGACAGGAAGTGAGTGGCACCCACATGGTATCCCAGTGCTTGAAGGGGGAGGGTTAGTCAATCTATCCATTGTACCTGACCCAATGTGAGTCTTTAAAGAGGCAAAGTTGCTTCCATATCAGCTGGTTAATAAATGCTAGGAATCATAGGGAATTGGGAAATGCCCATGTAACCAGTAGGACTGTTTTCTTTGGCTTTTTGTTAGAGTCAAAAATTTTTTTTTAACTGCAGGCTTGTGTGTGTGTGTGTGTGTGTGTGTGTGTGTGTGTTTAAAGATTTGTCTGAAAGACAGAGTGATACAGAGACAAGGAGAGACGGAGAGACACCCTCTATCCACTGGTTCATTCCCCAAATGGCTGCCATGGCAAGGACTGAACCAGGGTAAAGCCAGGAGGCAGAAACTCCATGGAGGCCTCCTGGGTGGCACGGGCCCAAGCACCTGCGCCGTCCTCTGCTGCTGCCTTGGCTGTGTCTCTGGCATTCCAGCATGGGAGGCTGACATTGCAAGACACAGCTTACCTGGCTGCGGGCACACTTGTCCCACGGCAGGTATCTCATCTTACGAGTGTACCACAGCACCTTGCTATCTGTGGAAGAAATCAGCAAAGGCGTTGCAAGCACCGGTGTTATTCTGCCGAGCACAGGATATAAGCCATTGCGACAGCAGCTTCAGCTGTGCAAAACCAGCCCGGGCAGAAAGATGTATCCCTCCTCACAGCTGGAGAAACACATCCTGGAACCAGTGCTTCACTTCTTGTCCTGCTTCTCACAAGAGGGACTGATGCTGCGGCTCTTCAAACTCACTCATCAAGGGCTTTCTGGGAGAGACCTGACTTTGCTTTATCTAAAACCTAGTGGTCCCTGTATGACTCAGGGGTCTGTGGATGCCACTGTGTGTTGCAACAAGTGCGATCTCACAGATCCCACTTCCTCCTCTCTAGTGGCTGTTCCAGGTACTGAGACTGACTCAAGGCTGTTGGGGCTGCTCAGGCGACAGAATTCATAGCAGGCACGTCAGTGGAAATCACTCGGCACAAAGGCCTAGTAACTGAAAAGTTAAAAGCAAGCAGGCCTGACATGGGTGCAGTAGCTATGAGAAGCAGCTTCTCCCCCTAGGTGGGTGGGACACAGAGAGAAACCTGGAGTCATAAACGGATGCCAGAGCTGAGCCTGCCCAGAGCTGGGATCCCTCCGAGAGCCGGAGCTGGCATCTGCTGGTGTTTCTAAACGGTTTCATGGAGCTGGTTCTGGGAATATGGGTTAAACTGGAGTCAGCTGCTGCTCCTGGAAAAACAGCTGCTCGGCTGGCCGAGGAGACAAGGTGACCCTGGGGGGAATGGGAGGCAGAGAACGGACTAATGGCCTTTAATCCAGGTTGTGGTGGCCTGCTGTTGCCCCCTGGTGGCAAATGGCCAGATGGCAAAGGAAACCTCTTGGTCTGTATTGTTCCAGGAAGACAAACGGTTTGGGGTTCAGAGTTTGCAGACAATAAGCAACGTGGTAATGTTCTGTCTTCTGAATTCTTGAGGACTGTGCAGTGCATGCAAACAAAACAAAGCCATCGTTTTCATCAGCGGTTATGGCAATAATATTGTTCATTTCCATATGAATAGCACTTCACAGGGCTTGCAAAGTGCTTTTGCATATATTGTGTGTTCAGAATTCAGCTGCCAACCTGACCTTGAACTAACCAAAACATAATGAGGAAAA